TCATGTGAAAAGCATTGAAATTCTTCTGAATGGAGCGTTTGAAATTTCTCTGAATTCGCGTTCAGTGTACATAAGCTGCAGATCTCTCGTATGAGATGAATATTTACTTGAATTGACAACGTCATATAGGCACTCAAAATGTCAACTTTGAAATTTTATATCGTTTTTGTCATATATTTAAAATTGCTCCAATTCATTCTCGCGCATATTTTTATAGTGTAAATGCACTTGTAATTCTATGTAGCCAATACAATGTAAACTTTACAGAAAAAAGTCAGTACTCTGTCGATAAAGATTTCGACTCCAGAGCATCCCCTTAATTACTAACCTAATTAATCAGTCAAGTGTCAACGATAATATTCGCGAGGAACTGCGACATTTACACTAACTATTGCTGCGATCATCATTCCGGTAACGCATTGCTTCCAACGAATTTATTAATGCGGGTATTTTGACACAGGCAATTCCACAGAAGAAATAAACCCGACGGATCCAAGAGAGTTCCGACGGCTCTTGATTTTTACGAGCGCGTAAATTTCCGGCGGCTCCTCTTCTTTCTGCTCTGTCTTTCTCTTCTTTACTTCGTTTCCGAGGAACGAGAATCCCAGTAGACTCGCGCGGCGTTCCATTTCTACACATTATTCTCCCCTCCTTACCCCTCCTTCTCGTCCCTTAATCCTTCGTTTTCTCAAGGAAATGATATTTTAAAGTGCCACCCTCACCCGCGTACGAACGCGGAACCTAATATCCTCTCGGCCGCTAAAAAATGTCGCAATTCGCGCTAGCTATATCTACGATATGAAAGAACAAAAGTATACTGGCATTATCTTTGAATAGCGGCCCGCCGCTAAAAAGCACGCCGTCAAATGAAATACATGTTGCATATAAATAGATATAATAAAAATAATACATACACAATAAATAGATAGAATAAAAATAATACATATATAATAATATTATATATGCTATATATAATATAGCAACTAATGTATAAACAAAAAGGCTAGAAACATAGAATGTCAAATCTGTTTCTTATAGATCGGGTAAACCCACTTTTGTTAATGTTTTACATTTAATAGAAGTTTATTTTTTATTCTTTACATCCAATTAAGTAGGTTGTAAGACTCAACGTCGTATTTTCTGTGGCGCATCAAGGAGACCACTCATAAACTTATAATTTATTGAACAAAATTACATTTATATACATAATGTTACGAATAAAAGAAATATTTCTTAATTTTTTTTTTACTAATATTTTGTGTATCGATTAATAGAGATATATAAATAATAGAAGAGGTATATAAGTGTTCAAATATGTGTATATGTATACTAAGAGGAATTATCTGATAGAAACTTAACAAACGGATATTTACGATTAAAATACCAGTAAATTTTTATATCCGATCAGGATATTCGATTAAATTTAATCGAATACTTCCGATCGTAATAGCATTTCATCAGATAAATTGATGAAAAAATTATTAATATTTCTCATCGGATGTTTCTTGGTCGGATACAAAAATTCATCGGTATTTTGATTGGAAATATCCGTTTATTAATTTTTTATCGAATAATTGCTTTCAGTGTATTACTATATATTATGAATTTTTCATCGCTGCATTTTTTAAACAAAACAGCCCATAATTTTGAAATTTGTATATAAATTTGCGTCGGTACATAAGTCTCTATAGTAATTTTTCATTTAAAACTCATTCAAAACCTTAATTTTAGTTTACAAGAAATTAAAAATAAAAACAACAGCCAAGGAACACGTAGCCAAGGAAAAAGTATCAATTTTGGCTTCAAGTATCTCAAATCTCGAATGATCGATCTTTTTTTAATTGTACGGACAGTTGGATATTTCAATTTATACGTAGAGGAAGTTTCAATAAATTCTTAACAAACTCAGTTTGCCTTACAATCTCTTTAAATGCACAATATGCGAAATTCTAAGAGATCTATTTGGTAATCAGTCATATGTGAAGGATTGATACCAAGAGACGAGAATATCTGGATTTTCGGGTTGGCGGTCTCTACCAAGCAGAAGCGATATTCCGTAACCATGGCGAAGTCGTTGCGATATAGACGCGAAACGGGCAACCTCGGTGCGAGCGCTCGGACGGTTCTTGATTTTACGAGCTCATAAATTTCAAACGGCCGCCCTGCGCCATCCCCGTCCTGGCTTCCACTGGCGCTTAACTCCGCGAAAATTCTATCCGTTCCAACGTTTCGTCCCACCCTCGGGTCCGCGGAGAACTCCGTGGAATTTCATCGAGCGGCGGACTCGTCGGATTCCTACGGAACCACCCCCCACAAAAGCTCGCCTTTAACTCCGAATCCGCGCGTGAATCTTGATCCGAAGGGCAACGCAACTATGCGGCTGATGTTCGCATAAAACGACTGCGTGAGGCGTTAAGTGCGATACGCAAAATTTAGCAGACGTTGATAAAACAGAATGAAGCTTTCCTTGCTTCATGGCTTCAAGGCTTCTGCAATAACGTTCATTTCATTTTTGGTTTTATGGGAATTTTAAGAGGTAACATCTTGGAAGAATCTCGTGAGTCAAAAAAAGGGATTTTTTATGATTCCTCGAAAAATTTTACTAAACTCAAAATTGCAATTTACGTGTGACGCAACATTCAAAATTACCAATCATTTTGCAAGAAATCGCGTCGAGCCGCCCTTTACTTACCAAGCCCTCGAGATCGTCGATCGCGTCGCACGCTAGACTCGAGTTTTGGGAGAGACGCCGCACCCGGGGATCAGCACGTTCACCCCGTGAAAATCCACGGGAAGCAGCAACCGATATTTCTTCCCGGATAGGAAATCAAGATCGCGGCCGGGTATAATCGCGAGGGCGATCGACGGCCTCGTCGTATCGGCGGGGCGAGATTGAAGGCTCGGCTAACGAGTTGTTTATGGATCCACCCTCCGCCCGTCGCCGTGCCGATGCCGAGAGGATGAGGATGAGGGTGAGGGTTGAGCGTGTACGTGTGTACCGGTTGCTCGGCCAGACGTATGGACGTACGGGGGAGTCCATTAACGGGCCCTCCGTTGCCCGCCAGCGGCGTATAGTTCGCGTCGTCGTGCCACCACCCCTCAGCAGGCAGCCTCTTTCACTCTCTCACCCTCAGTCAGCAGCAGCCGGGTTATCCCGCCGGTAGTCATGGTAACACGGGGGTTGGAGCCGCCCCCGGCCGCCAATCAGAGCTCGCGGCCAGGATGAGAGAAACGAGCGGCGACCCTTCCACCCCCGGGTCCTCTCCTCGCCCCTGAGACGAGGAACCCCTGCAGCGCGGCGTGCACAGGCACCCTTTCCACCATTCGCTTTCTCTCGGTCTGTCTCTTTCTCCCTTTTCTCGCCGCCGGGGTGGCTGAGATTCTCGCTTGGGAGGAAATCTTAACCGGGCGTGCCCCGCATCGCTGATGCCACCTACAGTCGTCTTGCGAGGTGGCTAGCCTTCCGTCCCTCGTGCCCTCTCGGCCCTGTCTTACCCGCGGAAAGTCTTGACCGAGCAGGATAGAGCCGGCGGCACTGAAAATCGGTACTTCGGGATTAACGTGCATGCTCGCTGGAATGTGGCAGGCGAACGTAAGAGGGAAGCTAGATTGCGCCCCCGGAGTTTCCCCGATTCCCTTCCTAAGTTTGTTGCGCTCGACGATGCGGTGTCTTTATAGATAGGTTGGACAGCGTGAGGCGCTTGTGTCAGTAAATTTGCAGGAGAACTATTAGACATTTTGTTGTCCGACTGAAAAAAATTATGGGTGTGTGAAAGATGGAATTTTTTAGTTGCGGTTTTCCGATACTTTTTCCAATTCCAGGTGTTTCCAATTTATGTTGTAGGATATAGAAGCTTTCGATAGCTGGAAAGCGAACAGTGAAGAACTATATCTTACCTCGAAATGTTTGATTGCACGAAACATAGAAGTGACATGAATACGACAAATTTCTTGACACTGTAATAAGATTATATAAATAATTGTGCAATGGTCAACTATATTTGATATTTAAAACAAAAAATATAATATACTTAACTACAATTAATTAGCCGTTTGAGTATCACGAAAAATGCCGAGTAACGTAATCACGTCGCTTCTTTCTCTCTCTCTCTCTTATTTCGTTTCTCATTTACTTTATATAAAGCATTGTATAGGAAGTACTATAAATGTTGGAATGTGGGTTTATTGAAACTTCTTAAACTTAAAAAAAAACTGATCGTGCGTTACAATAGAATCTGAGCACTCTATCAGTGAAGCTTACTGCGACGATGCCTGATACTAGACTTGATACTAGGAATGTGTAATTCTGGGTCGAATTTTGGGAAAATTGATTTTTTTTTTTACAGAAATCGGTTTAACCGACATTTTTATATTCGATTTTTACACGAGTAAATTAAAGGAGAATCGATTTTTTATTTGTTGATATCGCTTCATTTAATCGATTTTAATATGTTTCATACAGAAGTCGTATTGTGTCCAACATTCGACCCAATCAGGATGTTGTTTTAGATTTGCGTAATACAGAAGACTATAGAAGTGACGATAGATTTGGCTGTATGCAAAAGTAACCAAGATTTCCACCGAGAAACTCGGTGATCTCAACCAATCGAAATCCTAATCATTTCTTCAGTTTGAGAGTGACGTCTTAGGACAAAATATAACATAATTGATATCAGATTTATTAAATATATTAGACGTACATAAAAAGAAATATTTAAAATTGACAATTAGTATATCAATTCTAATTATTACGATTTAACATTGATTCAAGAATCGCCCATTCCCAACTGGCACTTTTAGAATAGAAACGGGAATAGCACGATCGCGTTGCATGGCGCCCAAACGGCTAACAAATAACAGTTACAATTATTAATTTACCACAAAAAGTACAGTTGTTCGCTAGCTTGATTCGCAATTAAATATGTTTGAATGTTGACGGTAAATTGAATAAGCCAAAGGACCAGTGTCTCTAAATACGTTTAATTTCCTTTTTATCGCAGGCGAAAAACCTCATAAGTGCCAAGTGTGCGGCAAGGCGTTCTCGCAGAGCAGCAACTTGATCACGCATTCAAGGAAACACACGGGCTTCAAGCCGTTCGCCTGTGAGCTTTGCGGCCGAGCTTTCCAGCGGAAGGTTGACTTGAGGAGGCATCGCGAAACTCAGCACGCCGACCTCAACGCGTCGCATCGACCTCCGATTGGTTCCATTCCCGGGCAGAATTCTCTGCCCAGTGGAAATCCACCGATGATGCAGTGAGGCCGCGAGGCAACGATTGACAATTCGCCGAGTCTTTGTGGACGATGATTGAGGATCGTCGTGATTAGCGGCCGCTCCACGGATCAAGGAGTCGGCTCGTGTTATGGACTAACCATTGTGAGAACGGTTCGAACGGTGAAATCACAAATGACGATCGCCACAATCGTTGATGCTGACGGCGTTACAACGATAAATTAGATCTCGCGGAAGATAGAAACATGAGTTATAATTGTCTTTGGGAATTGCGAATCGTATTACGACGAGAGATGTTGCTTACTGGAAGGTATTAACTGTCTTTGCATCCTCTCCGAATTGTCTCCCATATTTTTGTTCAACACATGGAAATAAAGTTTGGTCGCATCAACATGAGATTTGATTGTAATCAACAAGTCTTTGTCAAGTCTTCAATCAACGTGTTTTGATTGAAAGGAATGGGATTTCTGATTCTCAGAATCGAATTTGGATCATAAGAGAACCCCGGAAATTCCGTGTTCTCCAACTAAAATATGTTTGGCTCGTTCATTAAAATTATTTTAATATAACCAAATTTTTTCTCTACACTGAGAAAAAAATTCTTGAAAATTTATTTGTAGAACAAAAATTGATTTCACAGAAACAAATTTTATTTCTCAGAAATATACTTTATTTCACGGAAATAAATTTTGTATCACACAAATAAATTTCCAAGTATCTTTTCCTCAGTGTAATACGCAATTTGTGAATTCCAACAATTCTGAAATTTACAACAACCATGTACACTGCGAAAAGGACTTGAACATTTATTTGTGTATGTGTGTGTGAGAGATAAAAGTTCATTTCATACTTCAAATAAACTTTATTTTGCAGAAATAAATTTTATATCTTACAAATATATAAATTTCCGCGTATTCTTTCTCCGTGTAAGAAGAATTGAGATGCACGTTGTTAACATGAATAAGTGATCTAAACGTGCTGCTTGAAAACTTGAAAAATACTCGAGAAGCAAAATGTTAATATCATCCAACCTAACATTGAAGTAACATTGGAGATGCAGTTTTTCGTAAAAAGAAAGAGCAAATTCGCCTAGCACGCGCTATGTGACTGCATGCAAAGTTAAATCGGACTAGTGCAATTCGGGAGTGAATTTTCGGGACGACGGGAATTGACTGCAAGGAGGAACTCCAGCATTCTCATCGCGGGATGTTCTCTGATCTTTTGACGTTAGTGCGAGGAGACTGTATAAGTTAATATTTATTCGACCGTTTGTTTCGTCGGGACCGTTAGTCTTAGACGAGTATCCAACGACCTCGAGGACTCTTGACTCGCGGAATACACTCAAGACAAATGGGGAAAGTGTATTAGTGATTTGTCGCGGCCATGATATTCCACGAGGAGGTGTGTTGCATCCGTTTCGTTCCTAAATAATGGAACACGCCCAAGTTTGGTTCCTTCAGCGACTTTTGTTCGAGCAAAAGGACTTTTTGACGAATCGCGCTATCTATAAGTTGCCAATATGCGAAAGTGTGAAAGGGCGAATGGACTGTTTTTGTTACGAATAACGGCTAGCACTCGCTATTTTAATCGACGTTCTACCTACTGCTAATGAATCACCTGCTACTGTAACTTCTCCTCTTACGTAGATATTCTCACTACACGCGGTGCGGCCTTCAAGCTAGTCAGATATATCTCGGAAGAAATTACTCGATATTATATTTCATCAATAGCGTTAACTAATCACAGTTACTATGAAGTATCAAAAACAATGCACTGTTATAAACGAAGATCTACTCCAAACCGTGTTACCTTATCTTTTGTATCTAAAGGGTCGGCAGTATTTAGGTTTCCCATCCTTTTCGGAATTAGGAACAGAATAGCATGAGCGTCGAATGGCGTGTTGTAACGTGTCGAAGTACGGCAAGAGCGTACTGTATTTTGCATATCTCCCGCACCTGTCGTTCAAGAAAGGACGTTGGACCCAATCCCTAAAGTTGCAACTGTGACCAAAAACTGTAAATAGCACGTAGACCGTATCACGGTTAGTCTAAGCATATAAATATATACATATATAAATATGAATATAAATGACTCGAAGCTATAAATATTATAAATAGAGACGGACTCTTACGACGCAGAGTACCGTACCCGACTAATGGTGGGTGGTTCGCCCGCCGAGGTCTCACCAAAAAGTTATTATATTCTTCCCCTTTTTCTCGCTATCGAAGTTTTTATTGTTGTACCATTAATATCATTATGTAATTATTGTAATTAGAGACTCGCTATTAATATTATTGTCATTATTATTATTATTATTAACAATAAACGCTGTTACTATTTGTAAATGTGTCTCTCGTCTAGCAACCCTTTAATTTTCCCTCGCGCACTTTGGCATTCTCTCTTCGAATTTGTGTTCATTGTTTAATTGTGTTGATTGTCATGATTATTACCGCAATTTGTACGAACAGGTAAGCGAAAGTGGCCACATTTTCAAATAAACATTTACAAGCACGCAGCGCGTGTCTCTGAGTTTTGATGACATTTGCCCTTCGTCCGAGTCGATAGCTCGATTAATCCAGGTCGTGGAATCTGGCACTGCCGGATCACGATCGTTCCAGCTTCACTCGCTGTAATTCAGGGTTAAACGGCCGTGCCAATTAAGCAGACTACCCCGAAGAACCCCTTAACGGTCCAATATGTTTTCTGCCGAGTTTCCCCGACCGCTTTTCCTCCCTTCTTCGAGCGCTCATTATTTCGTTCGGGAGCGTACGAGCGCGATGTTAGAGTGGACGTGAGATTTTCCGTAGGCTGTTTTATAGCGTTTACCGTATGTGGCAGACGCATAGAACGTCGCAGAGATGAGAGATATAGGATAGCAAGGCGAGGAAAAGAGAATAGAGAAAGTCAGAAAATACGTTCGCAAGAGAGAGGGAGGGGAGTGGGAGAGAGGGAGAGACATGTAAAGAGATAAATGGAGAAGGAGAAAGAGAGACAGGGAGAGAGAGAGAGAGAGAGAGAGAGAGAGGAAGGACATTACAGCACTGACTGCACGACACCATGACACAGCCACGGGAGCAGATTGGACAGTTATTGCATTCTGGGTAAGATTAATTGATATGGGGACCAGTGGGAGGGCCGAAGGGCGCGCGGCAACGTCGGCGCTTAAACCTTGTCTCAGGCGCAGGCCGGGGATGAGAGCGCGGTGATTAACCGATTGCACCGTGAACCGAGTGGAACCGAAAGCCACCCCTCCAGCGTTCTTCCTAATAGCCATTGAGTAATAGAGAGCCTCTCATTATTAAATAGCGCCGGGCCATGCGTATGTGTCAGACATAAGCACGCATAACAGAGATTTATTCCTTTCGCGATCATTTATTCTTAACAAATCTATTTATCTGTATCTAAATCTATTACATATAGACTGAAAAATACTTTCTGAAAATGCTGGATACTCGCGTTGTTGCTGTCGTTAATCATTCTGTCCGTCTCTGTTCGTCTCCTGAGTCGAAATTTTAGCTCTACTTTCGATTTTGGAGTTTTTTAATATCTACATATTCTGAAGGTATGTTTCTGAAGTATATGATTAATACATATGGAAACTGAAGTCTTAATTAGCGCTACTAAATAGCAGAAAACCCATATAAGCGCAACTTGTAAGTTCTAGGGATTCTTGTAGAATCTTAAAGAAGTTTTTGTAAAAAAGCTAATGAGTTAAATAAAATTAAAAGAGGTTGAAATAGGCTTCAGACTAGCGTTAAGTGGAATGTTAAGGTCGAAATTAGAATCAAAATATCGACACGAGGTCTAGAATAGAAATTTTAATTCCATTTTTGACCTGAACTTTCTAATATCTGTATATTTTGAAGGATGAATATATAATATACAAGTCCCACTTAGCGCCTTTAAATACCAGAAAACGCACAAAATGCCACTTATAACTTTTACAGAGGACCTCTCAAAGTTAGTGAATTAATTAGAATAAAAAGAGATTGATATAGTCTTCAAAATATCGAAATATCCGTTAAATAGAATATTGAGGTCGAAATATGATCCAAATTTCGATTCGTATCGTCAAGATGTAAAGCAATCTCGCGTTGATAAGTGCCGCGCGTAAATGTCAGAGAGCCTATAAGGAATTGAATCGCAGTCCCTTAATGTCTTCGTTAAGTAGATCTATTTTATAAATATAATAATGGTTTATGTCATCGTCTGATTTGCCTGAAAGTCACCCTTCCAGATCAACCACCATAGAGACAGTAAAAAGCCAATAAGTTGACTCGTAGCGATAAACTCACCCCTCACGGCAATCTGCGGGCGGCGTTGCAAATTGTCCGTACAATTTGGTGAAGTACCACGCGGCCGTAATACTCCGTGCACACGCCCGCATAGCGAGTACCAATCGCGAGTATCGCGGGCTATTGCCATTTCTGTGGCGACATAACCACTTTAGCGCGCGGCGCAGCCTCGTGTCGCTCCCGTGTCACCTCGCGTTCCTCGTCCTATTCTCGCGTAGAACGGTCGCCCAGGGTTGTATCGTCCCGTGCAGCTGGCGGCTACGGAGAACGTTCGAATACGTTTTAGGGGACAACTCCATATACCCGCCGTATGCGGATACACCTTATGACTATTAAGGTATTCACGGCCCCTCGGAGGACGCCCCTCTTTGAAATATGGCGACTCGGGCCACCGTGTACATATACCGCCAGTCAGAGGAGCCCGCTATCCTGAACCGTCGTCCTCCTCCACCTTCCCTTTCTCCGTTCCGATCCCCTCTTCTTACGTCGCTCCGTTTCCTTTTTCGTATTCCTTTTCTCGTGTCCTTGCCGAACGTACACACGTAGGCGTTCGTTGGAGCGCCGTACGCCGGGAGGTCGCATCCCCCGTTATACCATACAGCCTGGTTTTCCATATTATTTACAATCCCTCGTCCTGCGCGTCGCTCCCGCAATAACTCGGGCCAAGTCCGCAAACGCGCGAGCGTGTCGCCAAATTGGTGGAAACCGAGGACGTCGTAACCTGTCCCAGCCGTGACAACTCTGAGTGATGTAGTAGCGCGAGGATCCGACATACGGATGTGTCGGCCAGAGGATGAAGGGAAATATGATCGCGCGACGATTCTTTAGGGTTGATCTCGATGTTATGGCGCGAAGACCATAATCGGCCGTCGATGGGAAGCGTCTAGTGTGGAGATTGGGAGGTGTCCCTTATCGGAAATAACGTTTCACTGTAAAATTTCGTGTATAAATCAGTTAGGAAAATATTAATTCACATTTCTTAAGCTTCCCCGCGTTTTCGACTCTCCTCTCCGTTTACTTCATCTTTTCCTTGAGGGTATATTGCCTATATTTGAAAAATAATGAGAAAATCTTGAATAAATTACAGATTAATTTATATTGCATCTTAATCACGAACGACTTGTCATTGATTCAGAGTTTGCATCAAAAGTTATTCCACTTTGAAGTGTAGCCAACAAACATGACGTCAAATGGCATCCCTAACGTCAATAACACGTCATTAATACGTCATTTGACGTCATCTTGCTATCTGGAAGTATTTTAAACCAGGCTGTTATGGAAATATATGATGTTATTATCTTTAGTAAAGAAAAAGATAATTGTAAAATACCGACGAAAATCTCGACTTATACTTTAAATATTCAAAATAATGTATTTAGTTTTATTGTGGCTCAAAAATAAAAATTTTAAAATCAGAAATAGTATAAAATGAAGTAAATAAATTATAAAAATGTGATGTTATATAAAGTAAAAATATATTGTTATTCAATTGTATCGTATATATACACCATACGTTTTTATATGATAAATAAAAATATCAGTGTTAATTTTTGGTAACTTTTTGCAGAGGCTATACGAGCGCAATACATCTTTAAATTTAATATCCCAAAGTGTGTTAAGAGAAAAATGAAGATTGATTCCACTGACGCTACTTAATTGAATATTTATCTTATTCAGATTATCTTATACGTCATAGATAATAATCAATTTACCAGACCGTGAACAATATACTTCATCTATTTGCACCATAATGCATACGCGATTACTTTTAATTCAGTTGAACGATTCTCTTAAACCGCTTGAGAAAATGCAAGATATCACGAGGTCATCTGCCTATTTATCCTCATTATTATTACATCAGAAAGAAACGATACGCATTCACGTCCAGAGTCATATTCTCTCAACGGACAGTACGTGGCTGGGAAATGTCTGCTGGCAAATAAATATTATTTGTACACGTTTCATCATCAGAGATTACGTTTGCGCATTTTTGCAATGTCTCAGCATTGCGCTGTGATGTACTGCTTTTTTTCTGTACGACGAGTTTACAGACTGAGCTAGGTGGACGAAATCTCATTTTGCGCAAATGTGTCCTGGAAGCTGCGTGGATTTGCGTGTCAGTCGCATTTGCGCCGGACGGGCGGATTAAAAAACGTCAATGTCCAATTATCACCGGACAACGCGCGGCTAATGGAATTTTTGAGAGGGAGATTAGGGAACTCGCGCGGTTCATGCAATTTTCGTACGTTGCGTGCCGCGCGCTAATTCGTTACGCGCGCGGATCGTGACGGAGATATGTTCCTTCCGTTGACGAGAACGTACAGGAACAAGCGCAATTTCGCTCACGATCACTTATAGTTACAGTCACCATGTTGAATAGTAGTAACTAATCCGCGCGAGCACACTGTCTCACCAATTTACGTAGACGTAGAATCCGCTGGAATCACTTGACCTCGCTCGAGAAACTGTTATTCGAGTTTGTTTATGGGAAATAATGTGTCTGTTTTCGCGCGCGCCGTCTCATTGGGCAACGAACTGTGCGAGGTGACTTTCTCTATCATTTTTTTTTCCTTAAATAGCGTGTAAATAGCGTGACCTCCGATCGACATCCGCGACGAACTGTCACGGAAGCGGCCATTTGTCAGTAGGCTTCTCTAATAACGAAGGCGACTCTCTCTTTCTTCCGCGTGGCGCGCGACTTTAAACAAATAGCTCGGCATGGAAAGCGGCAAGAAGCAAACAAATGGTCGCTTACGCCCGCGAGTAAGAAAAGGGCACGTTCCGGTGATCAATCAGGCGTCTCTGGCCGGACCGACTTAATACAGTCAGAGATCGATCGAATTCCGGCTTGCATGGCTTCGAGCATTGTTGCAGATCTTCGCGGTGAGTTCACTTGCTACTTGCGAAATACCCGACTTGATATTTTCACCAGGTACTCCTGATATTGTATAAGGATCTAACTGTATAAGTATAAAGTAACCCTAAGTATGGCATATTTCATATGGTATGATAGGAATTGAACAAGG